ATATTTTGTGGTGAAACATTTAAAATTTTAGTGATTTTTTCAAGTATATAATATTACTATAGTTACTATGTCACACATTGGATTATTATATATGAACAGTTGGTTTTCTTTAGAAAGTTAATTAATTTTTGGTGCTTGGGATCAACTAAGGACCTAACTCATGCTCTGTACCATTGAGCTATTCCTCCCTCACAATTGTGAACTTAGATAAGTATAAGACAACAGTGGACTAGAGGTGTATCTCAGTGACTGAACACTTGTACATTGAGGCCCTGAGTTTTGTTCTCGAGCTTCAGAGATTGGGGATTTTGGGTAGACAAGAGAAAATATGGTAGTCATTTTATGGGTTGTAGATTCAAAAGCAGCATGATTTCTGTGGTTATAGTGACACAGGCAAAGGCCAGCCTCTTTCAGGTTATTAGCAATATCTCTTTTTAAAAGAATTATTTTTTATTTTTTAAATGTTTTTTTTCTGGTTTTCTGAGACAGCTTTCTCTGTGTAACAGCCCTAGCTGTCCTGGAATTCACTTTGTAGACCAGACATGACTCAACATCACAGAGATCATCCTGCCAGTCTCCCCATTCCTGGGATAACAGTTGTATGCTACAATGTCCAGCTTAATTTTTTAATTAGAAAATTATTTTACATGTCAATCCCAGGTCCCTCTCCCTCCCCTCCTCTCCTGTCCCCCCAATTAACACCCTACCTATCCCATACCCTTTCTGCTCCCCAGGGAGGGTAAGGCCTTCCATAGGGGTTCTTCAATGTCTGTCATATTCTTTGGGATGAGGCCTAGGCCAGCCCCCTTGTATCCTGCCACGTTCCTGAAGGTGTTTATCAGCTGTAGGAGTTCCCAGGTAGAGTTTTTCAGTTCACTCATGTAGACTATCATATCATCTGGAAACAGTGAAAGCTTGACTTCTTCCTTTCCAATTTGTATCTCCTTGGTCTACTTTTATTGCTCTAGCTAGAACTTCAAGGACAATATTGAATAGATATGGAGAGAGTGGGCAGCTTTGTCTTGTTCCTGATTTTAGAGGAATAGCTTTGAGTTTCTCTCCACTTAGTTTGATGTTGGCTGTTGGCTTACTGTATATTGTTTTTATTGTGTTCAGGTATGTTCTTGTTATTCCTGATCACTCCAGATCATATATCATGAACAGATGTTGGATTTGTCAAAGGCTTTTTTCAAAATCTATTGAGATGATCATGTGGTATTTAATCTTCAGTTGGTTTATATGGTGGATTACTTTGATAGATTTTTGAATGTTACACCAACCTTGCATCCCAGGGATGAAGCCTACTTGATCATGGTGGATGATTTTTTTTAAATGTTCTTGGATTCAGTTTGCTAGTATTTTATTCAGTATTTTTGCATCTATGTTCATGGGGGATATTGGTCTGTAGTTCATTTTCTTAGTTGTGTCTTTGTGTGGCTTTGGTACCAAGGTAATTGTAGCCTTGTAAAGAGAGTTTGACAATGAACAGTCTGCTTCTATTGTGTGAAACAATTCGAGGTGTATTGGTATTAGCTCTTATTTGAATTTATGGTGAAATTCTGCACTGAAGCCATCTGTCCCTGGCCTTTTATTGGTTGGGAGACATTTGATGACTTCTGTTTACTTAAAGGTTATAGGCCTGTTTAAGTTGGCTATCTCTTTTGATTCAATTTTGTGTAAGTGATATCTGTCCAAAAAATTATACATTTCCTTTAAATTTTTGAACTTTGTGGAGTACAGGTTTTCAAAGTATGACCTCAAGATTCTCTGGATTTCCTAAGTGTCCTCCTTTTCATATCTGATTTTGTTAATTAGCATGCTCTCTCTGTTTCTCTGCCTTTTGGTTAGTTTGGATAAAGTTTTGTCTATCTTGTTGATTTTCTGGAAGAACCAACTCTTTGTTACATTGATTCTTTCAATTGTTTTCGTTGTTTCAACTTTATTGATTTCTGCCCTCAATTTGATTATTTCCTGTTGTCTACTTCTCTGGGGTGAATTTGCTCTCATTTGTTTCAGAGCTTTAAGCTGTGATGTCAAGTCTCTGGTATGATTATTCTCTAGTTTTTTCATGTGAGCACTTAGAGCTATGAACTTTCCTCTTAGTACTGCTTCCAAAGTGTCCCAGAAGTTTGGGTATGTTGTGTCTTTATTTTCATTGAATTCTAGAAAGTATTTACCTTCTTTCTTTATTTCTTCCTTTACCCAGGAATGGTGCAATTGCATGTTGTTCAATTTCCATGAGTTGGTAGGTTTTCTACAATTTGTGTTGGTTTTGAATTCTAACTTTAAAGCATGGTGGTCTGATAATACACAGGGGGTTTATTCCATTTTTGTACCTGTTGAGGTTTACTATGTTGCTGAGTATGTGGTCAGTTTTTGAGAGGGTTCCATGCGATGCTGTAAAGAAGGTATATTCTTTTGTGTATGTATGGGAAATTGTATAGATGTCTGTTAATCCCAGTTGGGTCATAACTTCTGTTAGTTCCTTTGTCTCTTTGTTAAGTTTCTGTCTGGTAGTCCTGTCCAGTGGTGTGAGTGGGGTATTGAAGTCTCCCAGTATAACTGTGTGAGGTCCTGTTTGTGATTTGAGTTTTAATAATGTTTCTTTTACGAATGTTGGTGCCTTTGTATTTGGGGCATAGATGTTTAGAATTGAGACTTCTTCCTG